ACTGGCTGGCATCCACCATGCTCTCATCTTGCGGCTGAGCCTCCGTCTCCCCCTCTGCCTGTGCCTGTGTTTGTTCCTGTTGCTCCTGACCGTCCACAAGGCTTTCGCCTCTAGCAGCAGATTCGGAGAATTCCAGAGGTGGAGGTTCAGGCACACTGCCCCCTAGCTTGACAATCTCGTTTCTAAGCAGCTCCAGCTCCGTTCGATCCCTATCCTGCACAGCCGCACCTTTTCGAATCATGTAGATGGCGTTGGACAAAATGTCTCCCTTGCTCGTTTTGGGACCTTTATCGTCTGGTAGGATCACCCTCAGCTCATCGAACAGCGTCTTCATATCCTTTCTTCTCTTTCTCTCCGCCAGCTTGTGGCTCACGCGCAATTCGGGCGATCGACTATATGGCGTCTCCTTCTTGTGAGGCACGGACAGACTGCTGGCCTGCTTGCCACCCGACGGCGCTTGCTGCGCGTCTGCCTCTTGCGCAGCTTCTGGCTCGCCAGCCTGTACGCCATACTCTTGCTCTCCTCCGTCGCCTTCAGGAGCATTGATGGTGGGGACAGCGTCCCCATTGGACAAGACTTCTCCCGCTGCGCCAAGATGAGGATGTGCCGTATTATTGTGGTGCTGTGCCTCTTCCTCGACATGCGGCTGCTCCTCTTCGTAGACTATCGCGTCGTGGTCCTGGCCGTGCACTTGCACAGCGTCTCCTTCGCCCTCTGCCTCGATGACCTGCTCTTCATGCATCAACTCTCCATCCTGCCCCTCGTGCTCTTGTTGCAGCTCCACTTCTTGCTGTCCTTGCTCTTCGTAATGCTGCACCTGTTCGCTGTCCACCTCTCCCACTCCCAGCTCCTCTTGACCAGGTGCCAGCTCGTGTGCGACATCCTGCGCGTGATACTCCGACTGCTCATCCTCCCCGCCTTCTTCTTGCCCCTGATCCTCTCCAGTCTCGGCATAGCCAAAAGTGTAGGGGTCAAAAGGATATCGCTCTGTCACGGCAACCCAAACGAGAGAAAAATGAAGAGAATGTGCTTGCTCAGCGTGGCAGATGCGACTATCGGGTGTGCGCGGTGCGGGCAAACGGGAAAGCACACTCACCAGCATCGCTCGCTTGCTGACCATCGGTCGTGCCATCGACTGCCGCTTCGAAAGGTTGCTGATGCTGCTGCTGATCAGCCGTCACAACACCTTCCATGTTCGCTCGCCAAGGATACACCCGATTTCAAAGGTGAGGGCTCGCACGTTCTCGCAACAGGCTAATGCGTGACGAGGTTGCTACTCAGCAGCGCACGCAAGAGAACAGAGAAGCCGAAGAGAGCAGGGCGATTGCCACCGATCTATCACTCTCGGCAAGAAACGCGCCACTTTTGCAAGACAGAAGTTCTCAAATCTGCTGACAAGAGCGCCCGCTCCTCGTGTATTTGCCTGCCTGCCGTTGCCTGCCTAAGAGTGATCAATCGCGACACAAGACGAGTCCCGCACGCAGTGTGCGCGACTGATGGTGCCCCGAAGACGCAAGATACAGCGATGGGGATTAGGACTTGCTATTACTGCTGACGGACTCGTGACTGGCAATGGATCGAACCGATCGATGGTCTCGCCGAGGCAGACGACCGACGACCAAGAGCCCTCCTATGTTGACGACGACGACGACGACGACGGCAGCGTCGGAGTGGGCGTGACGAAGTCCAAATGCTGCAATCCGAATCTGAGTCGTGAGTTGCTCGACACACCCGTCGATCAGTGTTGTGGCTACGCGTTGCTTGTACGCGTCTGATGTCGCGTGGCAAGGGGAAGTTGGGATATGCTCGCGTGGCAAATGATTGAAGTGGATATGCAGCGATGCTCGCGTGGCAATGGGTGTGGGTGTGGGTGTGGTGGTCGAGCACCATGCAGCAAGCTGAGCGAAGGCAAATATTTGCCCTCGTGGCATCTCGCCCGCCGCCCCGCCCGCTGCATGCATGGCGCTCTGCTGCACATTCTCAAACTGTACGCGTGGACTGCTTCCGCATGCACGCACGCCGATGCGCGCG